ATCGTGGCAAGAAGACCAACGCTGCCGGCGGCGGTAAGAAGAACGCTGGCGGTCTAGCCGGCCTCTTTGGAGCCGGCAAGAAGAACAACAACAACAACAACAACAACAACAACAACAACAACAAGCGTGATGAGGTTGATGTCGTCGACTACGCCGCGCTTGAGGCTCGACACCATCGTGGCAAGAAGACCAACGCTGCCGGCGGCGGTAAGAAGAACGCTGGCGGTCTTGCTGGCCTCTTTGGAGCCGGCAAGAAGAATAACAACAACAACAAGCGCGGCGACGTTGATAGCGAGCACATCGAGCTCGTATCTCGCCACCACCGTGGCAAGAAGACCAACGCTGCTGCCGGCGGTAAGAAAAACGCTGGTGGTCTTGCTGGCCTCTTTGGTGGAGCCGGCAAGAAGAACAACAAGCGGGCCGTCGCCTTCGCGGGCTAGTTGGGCTCATTGTCGGGCGTGTCAGGCGCGGAGGACCAGCTCTTTCGGGGAACCGATCCTGTATGGACATGTAGATCTTGGCAGATATGATAGCGAAGCGACATCGACTATCGTCGGAGGCATGATAATGACCGAGCTTTCGTGAAGCACCCACCCATCACAGCGCGTGTGACAAGGTATTGCAAAAATTCGACTTTCTGAGACGTTGATGATCTTCTGATGGATGTTTTGGATCATCGCTGGGATGCTCGCACGGCTGGGCGATCGCCATACGCACAGCCCTATGCCGAGACACGGTTGACATACTACAACGTTGTTCGAGCCGAGCAACCCGTTGGGGAACCGGACCCGGGCCGAAACACCTTTTCAGGCCACTGCAGCCTTGCAGGACCTCGGTCAGAGCGAATCGCAGAGACTCGGAAGGTAGACACGCAGTACTGGATCTCGCTGGCGGCGGGCTAGGTCCTCGCTAGGTTGGGTACGACGAAACAGGCGCAGCGCAGACTTGCTGATGATTGCAGGGTGTCTGTTGACCCGAGACGAGGCCTCAGAGGGGACGATAAAGCTATTTGCGTTGGACAGTTGACCAGAGGTGTAGCGACGCAAGGAAACACACTTGGCAATAAGGTGACCGTTCAGGGCGGCGTTCAGCGTCCTCTGCCAGCAGATCAACAAAGTTCAAGTCTGGTTGGCGGCTGCTTAGGTAAGTAAGTAAGGATGCAACCCACCGGCCCTTCCTCTCTGCGTTCAGCATTCAGGGGCAGGTCAGCCTACCTACCCACCTTACCCGGGTAGGTACGTGAGGTTAGGTAGGTATCTGCAATTACAAACACGGAAAACGTCCCTCCTACACACGCAGGCTGCCCACGACTGGGGTTTCAGCAGCAAGCCAGACTGAACCAGCCTTTTCATCTCCTCGCTCTCGACTTGAAGACAGTCAGGCAAGTTTTTATTGACAATAGCGATGCATTGGACCACTTTCACCCGAAGCTTCCCCTGGCTCCAGGCGATCCGCCTGGGCAGGTGAGCTATTCTGTCTCACCTGCTGGTCTTCGTCCTTGACAAAGTAGGATGCCTTGTATGGAAAGACCAGGCTTCAACCATTCGCGGAGGGCGATTTGGAGAAGGCCTGCTCATTCCAGGGCGTCCGTTTCTTGAGCTGCTTTGACATCGTGTCTCTAGTCCTCTACGTCAGCCACGATAGCCACCAACTGGATGACTCTCGACCGGATTCTCTGGCGGCCGAACGTTGACTGCGGTGGGACCTTCCCAGGCAAGACGTGAAAGGCAAATATTGAGCTACAAAGGAATCCAGAAAGAAGCTCGCTGCACCGCCTCGGCCTCACGAAGCTTGCGCTGGCTTCTAGCATTATCTTGGACATTTCGTGCTTATTTTTACATGGTGGCCAACCTGTATATCACATGCTCAGCCGCCTCACGATCGCCATGGTTTGGCATAGAAACCATACGCTGGCTTTCATCTGTCGACACTCTGACTGTCACTTGAAGCAAGTCCACAATATCACGTCCCGGCGGCACTGACTACTCAAACAATCATCGGCCATGGCACCCAAATCCAAACCCCGCAAGGAAATAGCATTGACTCTGGCCAATGTGAAACGCTCGAAAGTTTTGGATCTCAACATTCGGTCGACCTATACGCAATTCAACGGCCAAGAAGCGTTCAGAGAGCTGGTGCAGAACTGGTAATCATGGCTACTGCTGGCAGAGAAGCTCAAGCTAAATGCAGACGCTAGGCGAGACGAGGTGATCAGAGCCAGTGGCCTCAACCCGCAGCAGTTCATGAACTCTGTCACCCGCGAGATAATGACGAATGACTCGAAAGTCGAGATCTTATACAAGGCCACCAAGCCTGCACAAGGCTCACGAGGCGCACCGGAGGTTTTTGGTTTCATTCGGTACAGAGGGGAAAACGGACAAGGCACAGTTGAACTCACGAACCGCAAGAGCACCCTCCAACTTGAGCATCTGGAGATGGGTGGCACCAGTAAGAGACACGATACGAACCAAGCAGGCACCCACGGAGAGGGGATGAAGCTCGCAGCCCTCTCCATGCTGAGACCAGACAACAACCACAGTGTGCAATGCGTCTCTGGGGGTTGCACGTGGACTTTCTACTTGAACAGTCTCTTCAAACTGTGTGTGAAGGTCGAGCGGATACCCAAAAGCCGTCTTCAGCAGAGCATGCCCCCTTCTAGGGCTCTAAAGCAGATTCATTCTACATGTGTAGCCGCGCCCCATGAAGATGTGCAGTTCCTGCTTGGGGCTGAGAGCAAAAACGACGATCAAACGAAGCAAAACACCCAGCATGTCCCTATCACGAAAGCCGTGTTCGAGAGCTGGACGTCCATGGCGCTCTTTCTGCAGGAGCCAAATCCGCAGATGACAATCACGACGTCCCGTGGCAAACTCTTGTTGGAGCCCAAATATCATGGCAAGCTATACCTCAAAGGCTTACTTCTCAGCAATTCTGCCCAAAACTCCGCCGGCGTCGGTGGCGAGCTATATTTCAATAGCTTATTTCTCAGCTATTCTGCCCAAAACTCCGCCAGCATCAGTGGCAAGCAGATGAGGTACGGCTATGACTTTGCAGACGGCAGCACGAACCGAGATCGCCGGCATGTGGCTACTGCGACAGAGGAAGCAGAAACCATCGCTAGTATCTGGGCACAAAGTATTGAAAAGCGACCAGAGATGGTTGACAACCTCAGCGACATGCTGCTGTCAGAGAATTCAGAGTACGCCGACGTTAACATGGCGGATAGGAACACGAGTTTTCATGTTGCAACCCGTTTGGAGGCGGCCCTCGTGCAGAAGTATCCCAACCGATGGTTCTTTGATAACGAGCAGAGAACGAAAGTAAGACCATCATTGCTCTTCCTTCTCTACAGCACAATGAGCCTGACTCTTCGTAGTATCCTGAACTCGAACTAACAATCCAAGGCCTTGGATTGCGAGGAATGTATCTCCCCAAGACGTACTGGAAACTGCTGCACAAGCACGGGCTTGTACGCAAAGTCTGGGCTGAAGAGGCCATACGGTTCGGCAAAGCCAAGGCCCTGGGCCTTAAAGACCTGCCTCAAACATATTTTGCTCAGGAGCTTTATCGCATCATCAAAGCATGTATGCACGACTGCCACGAATGCATGCATCGCATCACCCTGCTCATTGTTGACGCTGGCGAACTTGAGCTTGACACTAAGTACCTTGCGGGCCCGCCTGCACAGCTCAAGGTACACGTCAAATGGTTGTCGCATGACATCCTCAGCACAGAACTGGGGACGCGACTCGACAAGGACAACCTGCGAGATGTCGGCAGAAGTGCGAGACTGCTTTTTAAGCGCATGCTGCAGACTCTGCCGACCGACAAGCTTAGACTTGGTGGAAAGACGTGGCAGTGGAAGGTCCGCCAGCTCGGGCTGCTAGCTGACCAGCGGATCGACGACGCAACCGTGTTCGGTGCGACGCACGTGTTCCCGGAGCCTGCGGTCTGTCGGGGCGTGGTGGTTCGCAGCCACTTCCTCAAGGAGCTGCCCCAAGGCGTATCTGCTGAAATCCATCTTCACGGCATGGCAACTTGCGGTGATAAACGCAGCATATTTTGTGCTTCAGAAGGTAAGTCCCAGTGTGGCCTCTGCCCTGAACTCTGACTAAAGTAGAAACCCTCTAGTCCGCCATCCGCGTTGTACTGGACATGCCGGGTCCTGTAGACGCTTGGTGGTTTCAGGACCCCGGACGGGTGTGACTTTTGAGAACTTGGACCTTCAAGTAGACTATTTTGCCCTTGTCTATTATGCAAACAGGCCAGGATCCTTCGTCCACGTCTCTTGTGGTTCAACCAAGCCGTCCGCCTTTCTCAAGCACACAGCAAAAGTCAGCACTAGTCACTCGGCCCCCGTCGGCGGCGATGCTAGCAAGGACTGCGACACCGCCAATAGACCCTCGACGACGGGAAGCAAGCGGTCGGCAGATGCGTATCAGAAATCCATGCCTCAATCGAAGCGTGTTAGACGGTAGCCTACATAGCGGTCTCCGGTTGTCAGTCTACGCCGCTGTGCACCTTTCCGTGTACTTGATGTTGCCAGCCGGCGTGGAGGTGGTACTCCTCTGTCTTGGGTTGGTTGCTGAGATCTGGCTCCTCGTCAGAGGAACCGCTGCGGCCAGAGGCTAGATACTTGACCTTGGAGGTAGCGCAACATGGATAGTCTACGGATAAGCCCAGATTGAGGTCACGGAACATGAATGTGCGATACAATACGTCCTCCTTGACACCATTCCCGTGTGAAAACACAAGGCGCATGAGAAGGACAGGATGACCTTCCGACTTTGTAGTTGTTTCTTTACTGCCCCATGCAGTAGATGACATGATTTCCCTCCGGTCTACGCTGCAGCGGTCGGCAGCCATCCAGAAAACCGCCGTGGGAACGAGCCTTGACCGCGCACATCATGTTCAATCGTTCGTTATCCAAACAAGGGTATCATTGATTCGCATCTGGTGCCGCATGCCAGGCGGATCCCGACGTGCGGCTATGTACTCTACTTCCTCCGCGCCTCCTTCGCCTTGGGCGTCCAGACGCGGACCCCCTTGGCGCTGTCCCACACGCTGGCGCCGACCTTGGCGGGGATCTTCCGGCCCTTGAGCCGCTGGTCGACGACCCACGTGCCGACGACGAACTCCTGCTTGCCCAGCATGCCCGGCGGCAGCGCGCCGGCGCTCTGGCCGACGACGAGATCCCAGACCTCGCCGAGCTCGTCATCCGGCAGGCGCGACCGGCGCCAAATCTCGCGCACGACGACGTTCAGGACGAGGTCGGCGGCGGCGGCGGCGCGGGGGCCAGGGGGCATCTTGTCGTGCAGCAAGCCGCGGTTGCTGGCCCAGAGGGCTTCGTAGCGCTTGCGCTCGCGCGGCGTTATCTCCTCGCGCCAGCGGCGGCGCGCGCCCTCGTGGTGGAAGTGCTTCTTGTTCGAGTGCGAGCCGTGGTGCTTCTTCTTGCGGCGCGTCTCCTCGTCGTCCGACTGCGCCGGCGGCTGCCGGAGCGTCTGGCGCAGGCGCGGTGACTTGGCGTGGTGGCGGCGCGGCAGAGGCGGCGCCGGGCTGTGGCCGCTGGCGCCCGTGTTGCTGGGCGTCAGCCGGGCGGCGGCGAGGGAGCCGGCCATGATGGCGTTGGACAGCGAGTGCAGGGGCAGACTGCTCGTTGACGCGGCCGCCGGGTGGCGGCGAGGGAACGAAGGCGTGTAGGGCCTTGTTGGTGAGCCGACAGGCATGCTGGTCGTGGACGAGGGCCGCGGCGGCAGTTCCCGACGAGGCACGGGCGATGCTGGCCGCGGTGTCTGCGTCGAGGACGCCGAGACGAACGTCTCGTTGGACGAGCTCGTCCCCGACGTTGTCGGCCTTGCAGTCGTGCTAACCCGACGTCCGTTGCTGAGAGCAGCGAGATTGGCGTCGTTCACAGGCAACGGTGCCGTGGCTCGAGGAGGAGGACCTGCAGGCTTTGCGGTCGAACTAGCGCCGCGGGGTTGAGGAGGGGTGGGTGGTCGCAGCTTGGCTTGGGAGGCTGGTCTCGTCGGTACAGGCGAGAGGACTGCCGTTTCGGAGCGGCTGATGATCCTCGGAGGCGGCATCTCGATGGACTCGGGTCGATGTTTCCGCGTCTTGGGCACGACAACGGGTTCGAGGGACGAGGGAGTAGGTGGGAGGGAGGGCGGAGGCTTCGGCTTGGCGGCCAGCGCCTGTCGGTTGGAGCGATCCGTCTTGGTCGTGGTCTCTGGAGCGCTCGGTCTCAGCAAGTCGTCCGGAACGGGCTGCCCTTTCTGAGGTTGAGGCGATTGCGTCTCGGGCGCGTGCCGTTGCGTCAGGCGCAGCGGTGCCATGACGGCGCGCATGGGTTTCGGCGGCGACGGAGCCCTGGGCTTCGCCGCTGCCTCTTCCTCAGCCTGTGTCTCTGGTGGCCTCAACCTGGCCCCTGTCTCTGGTGGCCCCGGCGGCCTGGCCTTCACGTGGGGTTTCGGTTTGGACGGCGGCGTGATTTCGCTCCGCAGAGGGGACCCGGGCTCCCTCCTGTCGGGGCTCATCTGTCTTTCGGGCGTCATGGGCCTCAGCTTTGGCTTCACCCTGGGTTTCGGTCTCGCTGTCGGTGTCGTCTCTTCCGTCGCGGGCGAGCCAGAGTCGCGCACCGGCGGCGTGCGCCTGCCCTGGGGACTGATTTCTCGCTCGGGCGTCATGGCCCTGAGCTGGGGCACACGCCTCATGGCGGTGGGTCGTCTGACGGGCGTCTTCTTTTTTGTGGGCTCCACGTCGTCGTCGTCGTCGCCGCCGCCATTATCGTCTCTCCTCTCGAACATGGAGATCAGGTTCGTCGTCGGCGCGATGGAGCTCGTGTCTGGCAGGTCGAGGCTGCTGCCGCCGCTGAGGCTGTTGACACTGGTCCTGCGGCGGGCGACCGCCGGCAGGCCCGGCACGGGGGTGTTGGCATTGGGGCTCGGCGAGGCGGATCGCGAGGCGGCGAGGGTGGCGGCGATGTACGAAGGGCTCTTCGTGTCGTAGCTCGTGGGCTTGGCGGCCGAGGACGGAGACAGGCGGGCGGCAGGCGGCGGGCTCGAGGCGAGACGAGGCCAGCGGGCGTGCTCGGTGGTGCCGTCGGTGCCGCCGGTCGTCTGTCGGCTCTGGGACGGAGCTGGGCTGCGGCTGCGGCTCCTGTCGCGGGTCGAGGCAGTCGCGGCGGCATAGAGGGCGCCGTTGGGGGGTACTCGTTTGGCGGGTGGTATGGGTCTCGGTGCCGTGGTTCGGGCGAAGGCGAGGTTGGCGCCTTGGAGGGCGGCGGCGGCGTTCGAGGCCGCCTGGGATGGAGGCGGCACAGCAGGCCGTGCGGAAGGCTGGTGGGCCATGATGGCGGGCGTCGTGTGTTGGGAGGTGCGATTGAGTTCAGCGGCGTGGGCGTGGGCGTGGGAGGACAGAGGGGCAGGTCATGCTGTCGATGCTCGTGGCGAGGACGGTGCTGACAGCGGCGAGTGTGCCTTGATGGAGGAGGCAAGCGAGTGTGCCTTGATGGAGGAGGCAAGCGAGTATGCCGTGATGGAGGCAGCGAGTAGCCGTGATGGAGGCAGCGAGTATGCCGTGATGGAGGCAAGCGAGGTAGATCGAATTCGGGTCAACAGATCGGTCTAGGTGAGGTCAATGCAGGCTAAATCAGATATCGCTGCATCAAGTCGGTATCAACAGAAGGGGACATGCTGTCGAGGAGAGGGTGGAGGCTGGCGGAGATGAGGACGATGAGGACGATGGGGGGGGCGGAGCAGGTGGCTGCAAGGTCCCGAGGATCCGGCGTCGTGTTTGGGTTGCAGGGGACCTTGGGATGTTGAGATGGTGGCCAAGCCAAGATGAGGTCTGGAGCTGCTTTCGCTCAGCCTTGGAGCCGTCGCAGAATGACACAAAAGGTGGGGCTCTTCAGCGGCTGTGGCCTACGTAGTGCCTGAGTAGGTAGAAACCCAGGTACACTACCACTACCACCAAATGAGAGAGCCACTAATTTACTACTGATCAGACGACGCACGCCTCACTACCTTATCACGTGGTCAGCCTGCTGTAGAGCCTTGTGGTGGGGCATTCTTTCTGTCAGTGCCTGGCAAGAGCTGGCAAGAGCTGGCAAGACCTGGGTCGGCACCTACTGTAGGCACCTACTGTAGGCATCTAAGCAGTAAAAGCCTATCTCACAGCACACCCAGGAACAGTCGTCGAAATGAATTGAACATGAATTGAACATAAAAAACATTCGTCAGTGGGCGTAAGCCTGCTTTCCTTTCCTTGCCCCTGCAACGCCGTCGGCCCAAACGCCGTACCAAAACACAAAGAAGCCCACCAACCCCCCCAACTCTCCATCGCTGGACCATCCCCCCCTCCCTTTCCTTTCCCCCGTAATTACAATGGACTGGACAGAATAACGAGAAGCAACAAAAAAAAAATAGGGCAGTGTAGCTGCCCTCCAGGTCGAGGTCACCCCGTGTGTGTACGTACTGTGGGACCGAAGAAGAAGGACGAGGAAGCAGAAGAAGAGGCAGGCACAGAAGCAGACACTCGCGCCAGGCGCCGAGATACCTCGTCGTAGCAAACAGCGTCCCCTCCATGCCTCTCAGTACGCTTCTTCGTCCGTCCACCCGCTGGCGTTGGACACGATGCGCTCGCCTCCCTCGTCCATGTAGGCATGTCCCGCATGCTGCGCCGGGATCGCCCGCAGCCGCTTCGTCTGGCTGGCGTTGGGCCGGTAGCCCGCCGCCTCGGGCTCCATGCGCTTGCCCCGTGCCGCGCGCACCTTGGCGTAGTACGTGTCCGACGCGTCCGCCTCGGGCTCGCTGTTGTCGTCGTACGTCTCCCAGTTCTCCGACCCCGTCACGTTGCTCGACCCGTTGGACGAGTTGGAGATCTGCCGCGGCGGTGGTGCCTGCGGGTACGCCATGACGGCCGGCGCCCCCCGCATCGAGCCGTATTCGTATTGTGAATGAGACTGGTGGGAGTGGTGGGAGTGGTGCGACTGGTGCGACTGATGAGACTGGTGCGACTGGTGCGAGAGCGTCGAGTTGGACCGCGTTATCCTCTCGGCCGCCGGCTGCGGCTGCGGGTCCTCGTACACATCTTCGAGCTCGGCCTGGCGGATGATGCTAGAGCCGAGGCCCGCCGACTTGTACGGGTTGACCGGCGTCTGGAGCTCCGGCACATGCACGAGCTCGCGCATCTTGGGTGGCGGCGCACGCATCGGCGCGCCGTTGCGCATTGTGCCTCCCGGCCCCGTCGGTCGGCCTTCTGCCCGTGTCTCTGGTCGTGGCCGCTCGGGCGAGTTGTTGCCGTTCTTGAGGTTCGAAAGGGGGGCGCGCGCGGGGATCCTCGAAGGGCTGCCCTTGGGGTTTGTCGGTGCCGCGCGCTTCGTCGTCGTTGCTGCGGCCGGTGCTGCTGCCGTCGGCGTCTTCGCGCCCGCTCGGCTGCCGCCGCCGGCTATCGATTTAGCCGCACTGTTCGCCCGGCTGATGGTGCCCGGTCGCGCCACCTTGGATGCCGAAGCTGGTGGCCCCGCAGGGGTCTTGGATCGTGGACCCGGCGCCGGGCCAGACTTGGCTTCGTCGGCGTCGATCATGTCGAGATATCGTTCGCCGTGCACCAAAAAGTCCCGGCCGTACTCGTCTTCCCACCTCTCCAGCTGCTTCCGCAGATCCGCCGCAATCTTGGGCAGCTCCTTGGTGATCCTCTTGCGCAGCTTCTCCTCGCGCAACAACTTTCCGGGGTCGCGCCTCTCGCCCTTTTGTCCACGCATCATGAGACGCGAAGCGTCCTGGCTGGAGGCCGCCAGCTCGTCGCGATCATGCGTCAGGGTTCTGTGCTTGTCCACGAGGGCCAGGATCGGCGCCCGCTGCTCGCGGACAGCTTCGAGACGTGAGATCTCCCGCTCGTGGGCCTCGAGCAGCGCATCGCTGTACACGTCGGAAAAGGCGGGCGTGAACTCGAGCATCTCGTCCTCGGAGAGGTAGAGGGCGTCCCACAGTTCCTGCAGCTTGTACCGCGCGTCCTCGACAAACAGATGCAGATTCTGCCGCTTGAGCTCGTTCAGCCGTGCGAGCTCGTCCTCAAACTCGTTGATCTGGCGCAGGCCACAACCGCGGTTCGCGTTGAGGAACGACTTGCGCTCGCCACTGTCGACGCCAAGCTTCTCCCAGAGCGCCTCGACCGCTGCTCTCAGGCTGACGAGGTGCTTCTCGCGGTTCTTCTTCTCGTCGGCAAGCTTGTCGCGCTTCTGGCGCAGCCGGTTGACGTCCTCTTCGTGCAGACCCAGCTGCTCGGGCGAGTCGCGGTAGTACTTGACAATGGCGCCGTCGGTCTGCGCCTGGGGCGTGCCGAGCTCGGCCCATAATTGGATCATGTGCTCGCAGAGGGACTTGACGTTGGCTACCCGACGCGTGTATTCCTCGTAGACGCGGGTGAATTCATTGTCGAGCTTGTCGACGTACGTAGGAGAGAGATCAAAGGACGGAGGGACCGATTGGTTCGGCGCCGTGGGCGGCAGAGCGATCTTGACAAAGGTAGGTTCGAGGTGGGAAGAGTAGGATTCGAGGGCCTGAACAAGTTCTGTGCTCGGTTAGCAAAGCTCGCGGATGGTGGTGTGTCGAGGACAACGCAGTATCGAGGATCACGCACTCTTGACTTGCTCGAACCGCTCCTTGTGCAGCCTGCCGATCTGAACGTGTCTCTCCTTGAGGTGCTGCAGGCAGCGAGTCAGCGGGTAGGTGATTTGCAAGTCTTCGTCGTCGTGATCGCGACGTCGGGTGTCGTCGAGGGAAGCTTCCATCTGGCGGATGGTCGTGATCATCCGCTGGGCCTCATCCATCATATCCTCCTTCTCAGCAGTGACCAGCCGGACTTGGTCATGGAGGGCTTTCGAGAGAGCCTCGAAGAGCTTCATGCATCATTAGCCAAGACGCTGGTAGAAGGACTCGGTTCTTGTGTCTACCTCTGATTCACGTGTTTCACGGTCGTGATTGGGGACACCAATCTCGTCAAAGAGGCCGTGGAGTTGGCCGATAATGGTGCCCACCTGCTGGGCGAGGTAGCTGGTGTCCATGACGCCGCTGTTGTTCGGCGAGGTGGCGGAGTCGTGGTTTGGAAGGTGTCGACAAGGTCTATCGCAGCACGGTAGAGTCGTGGCGTCTGCTGTTCACGGGATGCCCCCGAGATGCGCTGGTCGAGCGGTGCACTCCCATGCAGCAATCTGATGATGGTCACCGGGACGTCAGTTGCGTGGTGTGCATGTCCTGCGACAGCAAGGCCCAGGTCGGAAAGGAAACGATTTGGAGGCTTCGAGGGTAATGTCTGAGAGCGCGGCCGCGTCGCGGTGGATGTGTCGTGGTCGATGGTAAGGGAAGGTGTGGAAGCGAAGGTGACTGGAATGTGAGATCGCCAGATGGAGGAGGAGCACGTTGATTGCTGGGGTTCGACATGTTTTGGCTAGTGCTGGGGGACCTTCGCGTCCCGGAGGCAGCGTCGCCAGCGTCGCCAGCGTCGCCAGGGCAACGGCGAGAGCCAGTCGATCGGCGGGCGGGCCAGCACTAATGCCAGGATTCCCAGTGGATGAGCCACTAGAATCACACGCTGGAACTGCTGTCCGGGGCGTCTGTTTCAGTGGGAGCTACCCCGCGCTGCTCCCTCGCCAATCAAACGTCATGGTCGGGCTCCGTTTCATCCACATCTGCTCTGCCCACTGCCTTTCCGCTCCTGTGAGCGCCTGCCAAAGCTCCTCCCAACCTTGGTCCTGTCTGACCGTCTGACCAAGGTTTTCCTGGATTTCCTAGACAATCCGATTGTCGACATCCATCAAAAACGGTCATTAAGGGTGGATAAGTAGTGTTATTGTTGTATTTGGCTTAGTTTTGTCGCCAACGTGCCCCCAGGGCTACGTTTTATAGTGCCTGCTGACTAACCACATCAGAGAAGCTCCTTCCGTCATGTTCCCTCCTCATAAGAGGACGCCCACGGCCATAATCATCTTCCCACGTCTAGACATCCATCTTCATCCATTCCTCAGAGAATTATATCTCTTCGCGACCAAGGCGAGGACCAACGGTAACACAAGCGGGTCGAGGTACTCTTCAGTCGTGGGTGACTGTCGGTAGTGTACTTTAAGTAGGCGAGACGGTAGTATAGTACCCGTAGGTAGGTTAAATAGCTTTCAGCGTATTTTCTTCTTGCTTGGTATAGTAGACTCGATGCTTAACTTAGAGAACTTCTCGAGATGCAGGAACTAGGTCGGTACTGGCATTGATTACCGTAGCCCTGCTGTGGTCACCAAAAACGGTCATTAAGGGTGGATAAGTAGTGTTGTTGTTGTATTTGGCTTAGTTTTGTCGCCAACGTGCCCCCAGGGCTACGTTTTATAGTGCCTGCTGACTAACCACATCAGAGAAGCTCCTTCCGTCACCATCAACCCATGGAGCCATCTCAGACCAGGGAACATCCCGTCACACGTGCACTCTGTTGAGACGACATGCCCATGCACATTCCATCACCAACTGCCTCACGGGCCAGCGACTGGTCTTTCAAGATGCTCCCAAGCTTCTCCAGACATCTTGCTGTCTGCCAACTACGACTGCCAAGCACGACGCCTCCTACAACATGAATCCCAAGAGACCTACGACAAACGATGCATGCTTGATGTCTTGCATCTGCGTCGACTTTTTTGCGTTGCGTGGGCGCTTGTCTGGTCTCGGCTGGAGGCGTGCGTGGGTCTGCTGCAGGTCATCAGTCTCGGCTACACAAGCGCCGCTTTTCATCTCGACTATGCAGCATCGCGTCCCCCTCTCTCGTATCACACAAATAGCATCGGCATGGGGGTCTGCCGTCATCACCCATCTAGCGACGACGTCCGGCCCTATGTGTCCAAATATCTGATTGTTTGTTGACTCCACCTGTGCTAACTGCGTTTGCCGTCCCATGATGCTCAGGCTTCCATCCATCCCTTGGTAACGGCCATCACGTCGGGAAGGGAATCGTCACAGGACTCTTGTACCCATTCTTGCCCACCGACCGCACTCCGAAGATGACATTGTCCTTTGACAACTCGACAGTCGCCGTGCGCACGTCGCCAACAAAAAGGGCATGCGTCCACAGCGGCGCATCTGTTGGTCGCCACACAACCTCGTAGCCCGCGAGGTTTGTCGAATTGACCGGATCCCAGAATAGCTGGCTGTCGTTGGAGAGCCACGTCCCATTCACCCTGACATTGTTCACCTTGGCAGGTGCGTTTGCCAGAGACCACATGGCCGCCAGGTCAACCTTGGCCACGCGCGCAATATACTCATAGTCGAGAAACTCGGGCAAGTCGCCGTACTGCACGCCGTCTTCCACCCGCGTATCCTGGTGCTGGTGGTCGAAGTTCTCGTTGGGCTCGGTGAAACGCACAGCCGCGTAGCCTGCCTCGAGGAACGGTCGGTGGTCGCCTCCGCGCAGGAATCGATCAAGTCGGTAGATCATGGCGACCCTCATGTCGGTGAACTTATTAGCTGCTACCTCGGTGATGAAACGCCCCAGCTGGCGTGCTGGAGAGTCGTTCTCGCCACCAATGCTCAGGCGCTGGGATGCTTGCGCGGGAGTCTCGGTCAAAGGAGGACCCTGGCAGAACAGGCGAACTGTGTTGGGCTCCTTCTCGCCGCGAGACCCGACCGAGCTGCCGACGAGGTCGACGTTGAGCATGCCTTCAACGTTGACACTTGCATTTTTGAAAGTTTGTGCCATGAACTGGGCGCCCAGGAGCCCCTGTTCCTCGCCCGCCACGGCAGCAAACACAATGGTAGCGGCGGGCTTTCTCTTCGCCAGAACCCGGGCCAGCTCCAGAGCAACTAAAAGCAACCCAGTCAGCTACGCTCAACCGAATAAACAGAGACGACTACATACCTGCAACACCGCTTGCGTCGTCGTTTGCCCCGGGCTGCTCAGCCTCGTAGTTCATCACATCCGACACCCTCGTGTCGTAGTGGCCAAGCGTCACATACACCCGCCCAGGCTCCTCGCTACCCTCGAGAGTGGCTTGCACGTTGCTGATCAGCACAGGGAAGGGCACACGGCCTCCCGGCTGCTGCACATATCCGGGTACCTCAACCTTCATCCTCCCGGCCGAAGCATTGGAGTACCGAGACAGTTCAGCGGCGATCCAGTCACGAGCAGCACCGATACCTCGCTTCGGGTCCGTCTGCGACGAAAGCGTGTGCCGGGTGCCGAACGAGATGAGTTTCGCGATGGTTGCCTTGATACGCGCAGCGGAGACCTCAGCGAGGGCGGCCTGGAGCTCAGCATCTGGCTCTTGGGGCTCGAGGACAGAGCCGACAGCGGTAGACGGGGGCCAATTGGCGTTGGCGCAGGACGTATAAATGTCTGCATTGGCAGCGAGGGGCGGTGGGAACGCGGGGGTGGTATCGTTGGCGTGGAGAGTCGCCGCGGCGGCGAGGGCCGCGGGCGCCAGGAGAGAAAAAACTTTCATGGCGGCAGACAAGAGTTGAAGATGCGATGCTGCAAAAGTCTTCCCTGACGAGCACCAACCTTTGAGCGGCTGCAGACCTTTACTTGTACTGGGTCCCGTCCTTGAGCTTCGCCCCCTCCATCCGTCGAGCGACTCCGGAGACCAGAGCACCCCTGTGAGATCACCACTCTCCTCTGCTCGACCCCTCCTTCTCAGTCGAGCCTAGATAAGAAGACGTGCTGCATCTTTTGCAGAGGCAACGCCATCGCGTTGCCGAATCGCCAGCCGTCAAACTCGAGAGATCGGCACCGTTGGAGGGTCTTGGCCGGACCGGCATATATGGTTGCCCCGCGCCCGCCACCCCGAGACCTTGCTCGACTAGGAAGGTCGCCATGCAGACTGTCGTTCGATGACCCTGGTCGTTGGGGTTATGGTGGGATTGATGACGAGGACAACCGGACGTCTCATCCGCAATGTTGGGATTGCGGAAATCGGGCCTCGTCCTGCTTCAATCCATCGTTTGAGTGCCTCACTGCCTACAGCCCTATTGGCTGTGGGTGACGTGGCTGGGTACGTTGGCGCGTACAACCAAATCCATGACCACAAAATGGTCCACAACATCGAAGCTTACATCTCGCAGCATATAATCAAAGCGAGCAAAGAAGCAGAGTGCAAAGGCTTTTTGGCATGTTGAATCTGTAGTAGCATGTTATCTACATGATAGAATGATATTTGAAATCTCTCCTGGATGCTAACATGTCCGCTTATAGCCAGCCCTATGTGTATGCACATGTGGTCTCGTACCTCTGAAATAGCCCCTCGAGCCTTATGCTCCAAGGTGTTACACAGATGCCTCCTAACACGTATGTTCAGCTTGAGTGGTAGCTACAGATGGGACATTGATATACTCCCTACTACCTAATCATCTCTTCCCGAGCCCACTGGTCATCACTGTGGCCCCTCACAGCCTTGAGATACTTGTTAAAGGCCCCCGATGTCTTGATGACCTGGCTCAGGTGCGGCCAGTCCAGCCTCTCATTCCTGTGCTTGGCGAGCTGACGCGCGGTTCGCAGCGCATTGCGAATCTGCCGCCCATTCATCTCCTCGGCCGAGAGCTCGTCTAGCCGTCGCTCGAGCTCGGGCATATTGACATCTTCATGCGGCGAGTCCTCAATCATATCGAAAAAGTTGCGCCAGATGGCCTTTCGTGCCTTTTTCGACAGGTTGTCGTAGTGAATGGCCACTTGGATGCGCGACTTGAACGCTTCATCGAAGGTTCCGACACGGTTGGAAGTCAGCATGAGGATGCCTTCATAGTACTCGAGGACGCGGAGAAACACTAATTTCACGTCAGTTTTGACAAGGAATAGAGAGTGCGTGGCTGAATGTGTCTCCCGGAGCACTCACCAGTCACCAGACTGTTTCTCTGCAGGTCAGCCATTGTTCTCTCCTCCAAGAAGACATCTGCCTCGTCCAGCAGCAGCACTGGGTCTCTGTTAACCATGTACATTGATTTCTTTAGAGAAAAGTAGGAACGGAACTCACCACAGTCCCAGATCTTGCCCAAGTGCAACACAGTTTGTAGATAGTCCTCGACTTCCTTGGCGTCGGTTCCGATGTCTCCACAGGTAACCCGATAAAGGGGCTTCTCTGCGATCTCGGCCACGCTACGAGGTGCCTGAGTCAAACCAAACTTCCTGCAAAAGGATCAAAACATGGACTAAGTACTCACCTTTCTGCCGTCAGTGTTTTCCCTGTCCCCGGGCTGCCGTGGAGTAAGACAATGAGGCCATTGCCCTTTCCCTTGATGATATCGTCCATTTTTTCGGCTGAGCTTTGGACATCAACCAGCGCGTAGATCATCTCTTTGGTCTTGGGATCGAGAACCAGGCGCTCGAATGCTTTCTTGTTCCAGTTGACCGGGAAGAAGTTCTCAACATTCAAGTTCACTGTAAAAACAAACACGTTAGTGGTGCTCGGTGCCGTGAAGCCAAAATTACATACCCCATTTCTTTTCCTGAAAGCTGAAGCCATATATAGTAGCGGGCAGGAGCATGATAGTGTCTGGCGGGAGGTTCTCCTCGCTGCGGTCGATTCGGGTAGGCCACTTGTCAAAAGGCGATAGAGTCCAGTCGGACCGAGGGTGGCTGGTACCTGCACGATGCATGAGCTGGTACGATGATACATCAACCATGAATCGAGCATCGACCTGCACGGTATGGACACACTTCAGTGGTGTCCAAGTATTCGAGCGACCAGGAGAAACGACTTACGTAGTAATAGCTCCGCGACTTATCCCAGCCCGTGTAGCACTTGTAGACCTGGTCTCTCATGTCCCAGAATTGTCGGCCCCTCGTCTCGAGTGCCTCGATATCGGCCACTCTCGCAAACTTGATAGGGTGTATGGACAAATCCGCGATAGGGGTACGTCCTTCCGCAACCCTATTCATCTTGCCTGACCAAAACTTCCTGAATAGCTCAGAACCGTCGTACTGCCAAGACCAGCCTACGAAGTCCACCCTGTCTTTTTCAACCTCAGCATAACTTTCTAGAACGAAGGCCTCGAGGGTGCCACCAGCTCGTCGGCTCAGAACCACGTGATTAGGCTTGAAGAGCTTCGTGATATATTTGGCCGTGATGCACCCGTCTTTCAGAAGCTCGTCCGCCTCTTTGTATTCCTGGCCGTAGTTGTCCTTTATAAAGTTTAACAGCGGCATAAGTACGGATCCATAGGTTGGGTTGGACTCTGCCAAGCTCTCCAGCTTCTGACGGTGATGAAAGAGAAACAAGTACGGTGCCTCCATCCGTTGGTAATCAGACTCTGAGTCGCTTGAATTCCCGGGGCCGCTTGGGAACTCTGCCACCTGTTTCAAGGCTTTCTGCAATACAGGAGACACCAACCTTAGCCATTCATGTCTCTCTGTTGCATAGACATGCCTTCTTGGAGCTTGTGCTGAAGACGCGCTTTGGAACGGCGCGCAATCATGCTCCTTGAAGACGACGAAGCATATCTCTGGGTGCTTGCTTAGGAAAGCTTCCAAATTGGAGACCTTGACTTTGCCAGCAAGCATAGTGAAGCCAGTATTCGCATCAGTCATTGTTTTTGGCTCATCCTCGTAAGTGAAAGTATCGTGAGGGTGCAGCATATGCGGACAATGAATCTGGTGCAGGATATGAACTCGAGGCGGGGGCTCTCGCTGGCTGTCCGAATTACCATGCGAGCCACGAGACGCTGGCGTGGGATCCGACTCTGGGGCTCGAGCATAGTTCAGTTGATTGTGTAGCAGCTCAATGGTATCTAGAAGATAAGCAATGAACTGAGATGTCTCCTGGGACTGGTCCATAACATCGAGATCAAGATGTTTTTCCATGACTTCTGTAAGAGATTCTGCCAGCCCGAGGGTATGCGATGCTGCTCCTTTCGAGGTACTTCCGTCAGGGGCTTTGCTTGCTGTTGACACACTCTTCGCCCCACCCCCGTCGCCAGATTTGCGCTGGCTTCGTTCGGGAGACTGAGAAGCCGTGTTGACTCCCGGCAAAGGCCCTCGCTTCTTCATCAGACTCTGGCGCCACTTGGCATCATTCAGCGCCTTTGGACGCGCGGCAGGAGATCTTCGGTTAGGCTGTGCAGGCTGCCGAGGAAAGGGAGGGGGGCGTGAATGCGGTCCCTGGTCTGGATGCGAACGCATAGCTTGTTCAGGACCCAACAGTTTGGGCGGTGGAGGTAAGCTCCACTGATTTTCGTCCGACTTATTCAATCTTTGGAGAACTAACGGTTTGAGTCAGTCAGGAACGAATACTGATCGAGGGTTGAGCAAGCAATGTACAAGCCCTCGATAAAAAAACCCACCCCCTTCTTTCTCAAACCTGCTGCCTATCTTGGATAGCAGATCTCGCTTCTTAGATGACTTGCTGAGGGTATCATCTCTAGAGATGGTAGAGCTGATAAACAGAGTCGATTGCCCTCCACTATCGCTAGATCTGTTACTAATGATGCTTCGAGAATCGCCCGAGTCGCTGTCCTCCGCAATGTCAACGGTGGATTTGTCTGCATGAGCCGAGGCGCTGGCCTCGTCCTTTGAGTTGTCTTTTTGGGAATCCATCTGATTGAGCGTAAGATATACTAGTGTTGCCGCTCGCGGGAAGTGAACAATGTGCAGGACGTAACATAGGAGCTGAATTTCGCGACCAGACTTAATGTCTCATCCGAGATGCAATCTGGCTGAGGGGTAAAGCTGGGACAAGGGTGGTATGCAGCCTGAGCAAGGCTGTCTGAGGTACGGAACCTGATGCAGCTGGCAGAAGCCTCCTCGAATCCTGGGAGCCTGGCACTGCTGTGGCCTGGCGCGCGCTTACACAGGTCAGCCGACGACCCAACCATGCATTTGTCCCATTTTGCGCAGTGTCCAGATATGACTGTGCCGTTGTCGCTCGGCTGGCCTCGGTGTCATGATTCTAGCATTTCGGAGTATCGCTTGACGGATGAGCACCTTACGTGTCAGGAAGACCTGCAATGTTTCCTGATATGCCTAGACGCTTAATCACACTCGTCATTGACTAGAAATAGTGACCGAAGAGCTAAATCTCTCAACAAATCTTTGGTTCCTCCTCTTGAGCATGGCGCGATATTTTGGCTTCCTCATCATTCTTTCAGCTCGGCGCCCTTGATCCGTATAGATGCGTCTCTGATCAAACACTTCATCTGCATCGAGCGAAGTCGATACGGCAAATCTCCAGGATAAAACGGCAATTTTCAACCCCCCTTTCACTCGACGGCTTATCATTTCCGCGAGGAACTCGACGAAGTGGTCAACCTCGAAAAACTCGTGCTCTTCTTCCTCATGGCTTGTGGCCAACTCGATTAGACCCATGTCAACCACGAGAAACAAGCGCGGAAGCCTTGTGATACATCGTTCGAAGATTGCGAACCACTGCTGGACCCCTTTGCACGCCTTGAAGTGCTTCATGTTGACAGGATTCACCCCCTCGCTGACAATACTGGGGTCCAGAGCCAGAGCTTGGGATATGAGCGATCGCAGGATGCCAGATACCGACGGCTTCAAGGGTTCTTCTTCTGATGCAGACGGGAGGGCCCACAAGACAGGGTAATCTTTATCCAGGACGGCATCGAGGAAATCAGCAGCAAAGTCAAGTGAGCTTGAGCGAATGCCTTGGCCTTGAGCCAAGAGAAGGGAAGACGAGGGATCAGACACCCATGACTCAAGTGTCTCAAGCGCTGAGACTGGTATCTGGGTCGGCATGGTGCGCCTCCTCCGGTTCCGCATGGATCTACAGTAGGCCAGGCTCTCGTCCGATTCTGGAGCATCCTCTAAAAGAAGATAGTTGCGAATGTCTTCGACCTGGCCTTTTCGAAAGAGCTGCTTGTATTCGTATTGAACCCCGAGCAACGATTCGTTGTATAGGACTTGTTGCTGCTGTTGCACTATGGATTGTTCAGCCAAGACGTAGGTTTCATAGTCACTGGAGGAGCACGAACTTACCAGCCATCATTTCAGTTACCTGCACGAGTGTCTTATCCAAACGATGAATCCGGATGTGAAGGTCCCTTATCTCGGCTTTGGATGCTGCGCTGGCTAGTTCATCCACTCTTCTTGATCTTTCTGTAATTTCTTCAATGACGGGTTTGAAGCTCAGGCTGAATGGTTTAGTAATGGACGAAAGCGAATGCATCACCTTGCCCTTCTTGTACCACCGGACAGCCATGACGAAGAACTCTAAGATTTTGGCATATACCATGGCGACGGAATCTTGCATGCGCTGCGTCGGGTACAAGACGGAATGCAACTCTGTCCGAGGCAAGACGTCTGCAATCTTGCTGACTGCTTTGGAAATTTCCGTGAGGAGCTCCTCATGATTAAGAACGGCCTAGAGCACGTCAGTCCTGTTGTCGAACAAGTCTATGCCGTGTCCCCTACAATAAATAGAAACTTCATCGCGCCCCAGGCCAGGGAAACGTATTCAGGATGATGCTGGACGAATACATCAAACACGGCTGAGAGAGAGGTGCCTGAGTGAGCACTTTGCCGTGGTTTGCTGGTGAATGCAATGGAACTTACTCCCGTAGTACAGGATCCTGGATGAGCAACTCGCAAGCCAGCCCCTCAGCTTGGAAGCCTTGACTTTCGCCTCGTATTCATCCATCGCGTCTTTGACTGCATTCTGGACATCTTGCATAGATGTCTTGCCCTGCAATTGAAGAAGCTTCTGTTCATCGTGGGTGAGCTCCTTCCGGAGGATGAGTACCGCACCCTCGAACGCATCTTGAGCAGGGTTCACCCTTCTGTATTGAAATGCCTCAACGTTAGCTCTTAACCACAGGATCGTCTCACGGAACGAGGGGGTACAAGCTCTTGATGGTGAACAGACCTCGACTGTGGTTGTCCAATGTACCAGTCAGATAAAGGTTCACGGCCTGGCTGCCCTAACAGAATCGACAGGTCGAGAGGTGGCGGGGATGAGGTGCGAAGGGCATAGAGATCATGCCTCTCGCGAGTTGATACGGCCATCGGCAAGAACGGTGGAGGAAAAACATTCTCTCAACAATCATGTCCTCTGAAGAGAGAAGGAAGCAAGAGAGGGGAGTGAATGCATGCTGAGGCGATAGGTCAGGCCCTCTCATGTACAGCGCCTAGCCCTCCCTGTACATGCATGCATGCATGCATCGCCCCCAAACTCCAGTCTGAAGCAGCCTGGAGGGAGAGCCTACGAACGACCAACACCATACGTCTTTGGGGCTGTGCTGGCAAGGCGCAATCGTAGGCACGCGACACCTTTGTGTAGTATTCAGTGAGATCAGGCTAGCATCTCGACATCGATGCAAGGAAGCAAGCTTTGGGCAGGATGTTTAACCAAATTTCTTTGCAAAAAAGCCTGGCCTGGGTGCACCGGGCCACTCTAATCAATGCACTCACACGCACAACGAAGGAAAGGTTGGCAAGCTACTCCAGCGCAATGATAGGGACAAGGACGGGCGTGTACTTTTGGAGGGGCTGGAACCGTACAGAACGATTGACCGTAGGCAGTCTGGCGTAGTGGATGGAAACTACCAAAAAGAATGCTCCGAGGCGGATTCGAACTGCCGTCAATGCAGTATTGTAGTAAGAACCACAATGCATCATCCTAACCAACTAGACGATCGAAGCTGGCTGACAAGGGTGTATCTTAGATAAATTATGATCCACAGCTCTCTGCACTACGTCTCAGTGTCCATCCATCCCGCCTTATCCCAGTTACTGTACATTGCACGTCAGACTCGTCATTAACTTTCCAATAACGGAAGGGGATGTTCTTAGAAAAGCATCTGGCTTTTGCGCCTGTATGCATTTAGTTCCTGCAGTGTCTTCGTAGTGGGAGTTGCTCGGCTTCACGTGTTTGGGGGCAGCTTGCTGAAGCACCAACCACCACAAGGATAGCTTCAGCACAGACCACCGTCGCTCTCGGGAGCTCGACGTGTCTGGGAACAGAAGTCCGATGGTGTCGCGACCATTGGGCCCGGTATCGAGTAGTTCTGAGATGAATGGTGTGATCACCACTTTGTCTCTCGCTCGGGGTCAGAAATTATATTGTGTGATGCTGGTAATGTATCAAAGATGAGCGCGCAAGTCTTGTCCCAAGCGCGGCCCCATCGAGATCGTGCGCCGAAGCGCAGGCAGCCAACGACGTCATCGTGTCGCGCGACAGCCCAGGGCGGGCAACACGCCCCGAGCCGTCATCATTCATCATTACCTTCCTTCCATTTGGTTGCCAATAACGATCAACACCAGCCGTGATGAGCTAAGAAGCCCCCAGGTCACAATATCTCTTGCGATCCGACAGCATCAGGACAGCACTGAATCGACCTCCGACCCACAGACAATTCTGTTGACGACGTGATCAAGATGATGTCCTGGCTCGGCATCGGCCGCAAGTCGCGTGAGGAGCGCGAACGCGAGCCACTGCTTCCTCGCTACAACGATGATACGGCTCTGCAGGCGCGTCTACACGAAAAGCTTCATTCATATCAGATGCTACGAGCCATGTCCAAGGGTTACATGCCGTCCAACGAACAGCTCATTACGAACCTTCGCACCTTGCTGTCTGCCGACATTCTTAACCCTGAGACTCCAGACCTCAGCGACTCTGGCCGCGCCTTGGTCATCCACATCCGTCTGTGGCTGAAGCAGTTCATCGAGGTGCTGATACACAAGAATGATCACGATCAAATCCAGGACTTTATCTGGTACCTGAGTAAATCTCGCCTGTCCGTCGACACGTACGACATTAGCGAGCGTGCCTCCCGCATCAAGGTTAAGGCGGACTCCACTGCTGGTAACTTTTTTTGACTACCCGCAAGCTGTGATCTCGCTGACTTGCGTCCCCACAGCCTACAAAAGCCTTCAGACGGTTGGCTCCCTTCTCCTCACGAACTCTGATTTCCGCATCTTTCTCTCCGATCTGGGCACTGTCGGCCGCGAGGTCTTTCGCGATACTGCCTTTACGCTAGCCGATGTTTCTAAACAGGTCGGCAAGCAGGTGGCACCATCAAAAGAAGACGAAGAAGCCCTGAAGCACCCAAATGGCGACTCTCACAAACCGCCATCGAAAGATGAGATCCAGCATGAAGCTGTTGAGGTATCTTCAGTTGTCGCAGATGGTGCTGCCAAGGTCGCGAGTGAAGCAGGACAGAGCCTTACAGAGCACATCACCGGCGAGGAACAGGAAACTCTAGTGAACCGCCTGAAAAAATCGGTTCTGAAACTCCAAAAGACCAGAGACTACTCGGATTCCGTTTCGACCATATCTCTGCTCGTCCGTCGCTACCTCCTCGTCTACTCGCATGCTGTTGCCGATGTAGCGCATGCTGCGGAGGAAGACATTGACAAGAACCCCGAAGCAGACAAGGCCTTGCACAACTTTTGGCTTTTTCTGTCGTCTCTCGGTGACCGAAAAGAATGGGACGAAGTGGAGCGTACATTCAACGAGGTTGTTGAACATGGTCGAAGCGATCCTGAGTTTGACCAGCTGGTTCGCCAGATTGGCAACCTTATCCAAGATCTGCTGACGGACCCTGACTTCTTCGACCATGCAGAGGAGAGGTTCAAGGAACTGCGAGCCAAATCCAGCCAGCTGACGTCTGAGTCATCCATTCGGGATGCACTGGACGCATTCCTCGATCGCTTGCACCGAGCTTTGCACTCGGTCTTTGAGGATGCCGACATAAAGAAACTTGTTCACACGTCTCAACGTATCATCAAGATCCTCTCTCCCGCACACCAATATACTAACGGAGAGCTCGTTAACGACTCGATCAATGTCTTTATCCCGCTGCTCGTACAGGCGATTCAATACGTTCCTATTCCCCGTGTTGAGGTCTCCACGCCAGCCGTCGATCTTCTGATTGAGAATCTCATTCTCGAGCCAGGACGCACAATCAACTCGTCATCCTTCTTGCCCTTTAAGCTCAATATTTCGACCAAAAACGACGTCGAAATCCGAAAGGCTCGCTTCCGCACCACATCTTCCGTCTCGACTGTGATGAGAATCACAATTTCAGGCCTGTCCATTGCCGCCGAGCAGCTTGGATACTGGCTGCGTCTTCACTCGGGTATTCTGCGTCTGGCCGATGCAGGTATAGCGGGTTTCCGCCTTGATGAGCGTGGCATCGACGTTGCTATCGATGTCGAGATTGGTAAGGAGCGTCTGGAAAAGGTCCTAGCGCTTCGTGCTGTCCGCGTTCGCATCCACCACCTAGACTACGAGCTGTCGAAGAGCAAATTCTCCTTCTTCGCTTGGATTCTGAAGCCGTTCATCCGCCCCATCGTTCGCGCCGCCCTTGAAGTTCAGATCGCGCGATCAATTGCCGAGGCAATCCACTTCGCCAATCGCGAATTCCTCTTCGCCCGTGAAAGGCTCCGCGCCACTCGTATCGCCGAGCCACAGGATCTCTGGACATTCATCAAGGCCGTCATATCCAGACTTGTCCCGGAGGAAGATCCCGACCTTTACACGCGCGTGGGTGTGGCCCAGCCAGGCAAAGGCGTCTTCAAGGGAGTGTATGCGCCTGGGAGTTTGGTCAAGTTGTGGAACGAAGAGGCGAGTCTGGCCCAAGAGAGGGTCTACGAGTACGACCAAGGCGGATGGCGCAATGATATTTTTGACGTCACTGCAACGAACATTTGATTTCATTATGGCCTGTACGACATACACGGATGGTTTCACTCAATGCCTCGGAGTTTTGCGGTTTCGGACTCGGTCACAAACAAAATGCGTCCCAACGAGACGAGGAGCGGGCGTTCATCTTGTATTCACCCTCTTCTTTATGTCTTCGCTTTCCAACTTTTGCCTGTCCGCACTGTATCACGGCTTTCATTCTCTGCTGTCGTCCCTCCCGGTTCGATGTACAAAATACACTTCTCCATGGCCAAGACGGCACTTCAGCGGGCTGTCTGGACAGCCTCCCCCTGATTCTCTGATACGTACTTGCCATTGGCATCTGAACTCCGTGCCAACCCCACCCCATAGCCATGCCATGGGGCTCAGGCTCTCATCACGACCAAACTCCACCCAAAACTTCAAACCCACACAACGCCCACCTGAATTGGTTCAGCTGCAAATCCCTCACACCCCAACCCGTGGTCCCAGTCAAGATCCGCGCGACCTCGGTTTGCCGTCATCAGCGAGGTCGGTTAGCTCAGTTGGTTAGAGCGTGGTACTAATAATGCCAAGGTCATGAGT